TAATAAAAAATATACTTATTTAATTATACTTAGTTTACCACACCAGTGTTTCAGTATCCAATGTACCATTTTCAGAGTATGACTTTCATAGTCTAACTAAAATAAAATTAATATTGGCATTCATAGAATAAAATGGTTCAGTAGTGTTGCTGGATTTACATTTTTCTTTTTTTTGGTTTTAGTCGGTTCTTGTTTACAGTATTCTCCAGTACATCGAGTCATCCGAATCCAATGTCCTGTATGGAGTTGGCCTTTGTGCGGCGCTTTTTACCTCAGAGTTCTGCAAAGCATTTTTTGTATCACTGACCTGGGCTATTAATATACGGACAGGAATCAGGCTTAAAAATGCATTTTCTGCTGTGGCGTTCGAGAAAATCATTTCTCTGAGGACACTTAATGACATTTCTGTTGGAGAGGTAGGCTGTTCCTCTTTATTTATACAGTACGCATTTCATGTCAATAACAAATTTTGGTCTCTCTCTGCTCAGTTAACCACATTCAGTTTAACCCCCTTAACTCACTTACTGTAGGAGCATACTTCTTTGTATATATACTTCATTGTATATATTTGAGATTATACAATGTCACAAATACAGTTACAGTTTCTAATTTTCATTTTACAGGTGATCAATGTCCTTTCTAACGATGGCTATCGAATATTCGATGCTATAATTTTCTGCACCTTCATACTTTGTATACCAGTCTTGCTGATTATCTGCATTGTATATGCCTGCTACGTTCTTGGATATACTGCACTTTTTGGAGTCTTAGTATATATGGTCTTCATTCCTATACAGGTTTGTATTTTGAATATTTATTGAACCCGTTTTATGAGGAATTAAAATTAAAAAGGATAATTGCAATGTGCAAAACATGACAATAAATTACATAAAATTAAAGATGATAACAGAAATGCCAATGTCCTTGAGAAATATTCAAGATTATAATTGAGTATTATTGCTGAGAAATTGTCCTAATCTTTAATCTATTAATTTGATTAGCAATGGACAGTCTATCTAATGTCTTTGTGAAATGATGGCTGTATTTTAATTTCAGTTTAATGAATTGTTCATCTAAATAATATGCATGTATTAGATTTAACATTTAAATTGACATTTTACAGTATGTTAAAACGTTGTTTGGTTTAGTCCTAGAATAATAGTGCTACTACTATGGAACAAGTAATAGGTTCATTCCATGCTGAAAAAAAGAAGAGAGAAAACACAACATTTCGGCCCACCTGAAGAAGGCTCCACTGCAGTAACGTTGTGTTTTCTCTCTTCTTTTTTTCAGCATGGAATAAACCTATTGCTTGTTCCTTTGCAGCCTACGCATGCTGACGCAGCTACCCACCTGAACTACTACTACTATTACTTTAGTCTACATTTTTTGCCCCCCCCCATGCCTGTTTATAATGACTCAGGTTAGCACTTGTAATATGTGATACGAAACATTACTTTCAATTACTAAGGCACAAGCAGTAATCTTTAATTGAAAGTGAATAATGAATGTACATATTGCATGCAAATTTTGTGAAAAGCACCTAAGGAAATTGGAAAAATTAATCTCCAATGGTTAATTGTAATTAACTGATTTAAATAATTGAAATATAACATGCCTATATTATCTTTTTAAGTTTGCGATGGCCAGGATGATAAATGTTGTCAGGAGGCGCGCGATAACCATTACAGACACAAGAGTACGAACCATGAATGAAGTGCTAACTTGCATTAAACTTATTAAAATGTATGCTTGGGAGAATTCATTTGAAAAACACATTTCTGGTAAGTTTTATGTTGCTACAATATTTCATATTGTTTATTTGAAACCATTTTATAAAGAAAGATAATAAAAGAATATTGTCATGGGCACACTGCAATAATGAGCCCTTTTGACTGGCAAAAAGCATATAATACAATGAAAAAGTGTGTGTAATTTTTTTAATTGTAAGAATTGGTAAAAAAAGGTTCCAGAAAATAATATACAGCCAATGCGTTTTAAACCTAGATGGTTTTACTGGAGTAAAAGGAAAAGTAAAGCAATTAAACAAACTCAGATCATTAATTATAATAATTTAAAAAGGGCTAATATTTCAGTGAAATAGCTCTCTTCCACTATACTGCAATTTTATATCTATTAACTTATTACCCATTTATATTAAGAAATGCTTTAATGTGTTTTTACTATATATGTGATAATGGTAGGTGTCATCTACAATAAACTTTATTTTTGTTCTTTCAGATGTAAGAAGAGAAGAAAGAAGCGTTTTAGAGAAAGCAGGATATATTCAGAGTGTCAATTCTTCTGTCACAATCATTATTCCAACACTGTCCACAATTGTCACTTTTGTTGCTCACACAGCTCTTGGCCTGAATTTGACTTCTTCATCTGTAAGCAAAAGACCTTACAAAAACCTTGATTCAAACATTTTAGTAATAATGCAACCCCATTGCAGAGCTTTCTACATGTTTGGTTTTTGTTTTCTTTTTAGGCCTTTACTGTGACTGCCATTTTCAACTCAATGAGGTTCACTCTTGGCCTCCTTCCATTCTCTGTAAAGGCTTTGGCAGAAGCCAAAGTTTCTCTAGCCCGGTTAAAGGTAATATGCAAGATTTCAAATTAAAAAGGGATTTTTGATGCTTTCCTGTGAGATTTTTTAATTCATTTTCTATATAATATACAATTGTGGTGTGGAAAATAACTGAAGTGAGAACAGACGGTTTTATGTATATGCTAATGCATAATGCAATACATTTAAGCCTCAAGGCATTTTAGCAACAGCAAAGCTATTTAATTAGCATTTTTGCTCAAAGGCTCACTGTTGAAAATACACTGTACTTTTAATAAGACTAAACCAAGAATCTTCAGTCTCTCACGAGAAATATATTGAGTTAATAATATGTATCTTCCTTTAGAAAATTCTCCTTCTTGAAAATCCAGAACAATATGTGACTCAGTCACAGGGTTCCCCCAATGCTTTAGTCATAGAGAAAGCAACTCTCTCCTGGGGTCGCCCTACAGAGAGTAATGAATCTACACGGGCCGCAGCGAATGGGCTCAGAGGTAAGGAAAATGAGCCAGAGGCTTCGGAGAGTGAACAAGATACAAATCTACCCGGAAAGGCAAAAAACAGACCAACTCTGAAAAACATTACCCTTACATTACAGAAGGTACGTAGGCACATTTTTTTCTGGTTTTCTTAGTAGTTATTGGAAACAGTACATCCAATGTCTAATTTAGTAATGAATCTCATTTACATTATTAAAACAGTTGCTGCAGTCTGGATTCAGTGCAAAATCACACATACTGTACACTCTTTTTATTTTGTTGTGTGGGCTAGAACACATGGAGGTATGATGGAGGAGTTTATCTTGCAGCATCTTTGAATTTAGCATAGGAAGGTGTCAGCCACTCTGTTCTTTTCTATACTGCAGATACAGTGTAAGCTGTGGTGTAGCCTTGCTATTAATGCATCTATGTTTGCTAGGGGAAGTGAACAAACATTAATGCCATGGAGGAAAAGATTAAGATACCATGGGACATTTTAGTATTTTGAAGCAAGAACTTGCAATAACATTGACTTTCTGAATTAGGATAGTTTATTTTAAGTACCCAAATTAAAATATGATTTCTTCTAACTTGCTAGAGCTGCAATTTGTTAACATTTCCATCTATCCCTTTTCTAATCATTTCTTTCAATTTAGGGTCAGGGGGCAGCAGGAGCCTACTCCAGATTTGCAACAGGCACACGGCAGTGTACACCCTGGATGGGACAACAATTAATATCAGGGCAGACAGACACAAACACAGACAAGCACAGACTTAGAGCAGAGACAGTTTTCCCAGAAGCCAATTAAATGTCCAGTATCTTTTTGGACTGTGGGAGGAAACCGTAGCACCCGGAGGAAGCCCACATGATCATGGGAGGACATACAAACCAAGCAGATAACACCCCAGGGTCCCAGTGTTGCAAGACAGCAATGCTAACCACAGTGCTGCCCTTGTTAAAATGTATTTGTGCAAAAACAGATAATAAGGAAAAGTATTCTGTCAACTTCATCTCAAAAGATTTTTGAAATCATAAAACAGGATGTTTTCTTACCATTGTGATTTTTTGTATTTTACCAACAAATTAATTTGGTACATATGCTCGTTTAAGGGAAAGCTGCTTGGAATTTGTGGAAATGTAGGCAGTGGAAAAAGTTCATTGATTTCATGCATACTCGGACAGGTAAGTACCTCCTCATTTACAAAAATAAAATTAGAATTTCATGTCCTGTATGCATTGAAGAAAATAAGTAAAAACATTTAACAATGTATCTGCATAGATGTCTGCATTAAATCTTTCTGGTCAAATAATTTACATTTGGCAAATCTTAACATAGTTTACACCTATAGTTTTCAGAGTTGAGTAGAAAAACACATTTCACCAAATGTTTTCTGAGAAATGATTATAAGAGAATGACTATGGAATGGGTCAGATGGCCCCCTTTCATATGATCTTATGCTCTAGGTTTGATACAAAATATTAATTTTCTGAAAATATTTTCACCTGCTATAGATGCACCTGTATCATGGATCTGTGGCAGTAGATGGAACTTTTGCTTATGTCTCTCAGCAAGCCTGGATATTTCATGGAAGTGTTCGTGACAATATTCTCATGGAAGAGAAATTTGATAAAAAGAGGTATTTCCACTGCTTAAAAATTACAGTGAAGTTGAACAACACAAGCTGAGGTCTAAAGAAAACAAAAGCTCTGCTTCACAGCTACATGACCTCCACTTGGAAGGCATTAGAGACCACAGGATTGGTTATGATTCTGTTTTCCATTAAAAAGAGCTTCAGGAACCATAGATAGCAAGGTCACACTACAGTAGGTACCTTAGGTTCAGTAAGTTCACAACCAATTCACAAACCAATTCAGAAGGGATTTCTCTTCCACTTTGCCCAACAACTGTTTTCATTTTGCCATTTTCAGTTACACTGTTTTGGAGGTACAGTGACAAATATTTTTATTTTGTTCTTTCAAAGATATGACAACGTTCTTAGTGCCTGCTGTCTTAAGCCTGACTTAGCGATTCTTCCCTATGGAGACATGACTGAGGTAAGACAGTGACTGAGGTAAGACAGTAACTAAAAAATATCTATATCTGACTGCTGTGAAAACACGGTACTTCAGGATCAACAGCAGAAGCTTAAAAAGTATGTGTCTGCAGTCGAGAGCCAGCAGAAAACTGCAATTTGTCTGCATAGTTGTATCTGGTGAAGAAAATATACTGTACTCTCCTGACAGTTCATTGTTTTTTTGAAAAACAAATACTTTTCCAATGTTTTCTGATATACAGTATGGCACACATTGAATACATTGTACTGTATTGCACTAGTTTGGTCAAATTCTAATTAACACAACACGACAACAAATATTCAGGGATAGTATACTTTAGTGTTTTACGTCTGGCTGAGGAAATGACAGCCCTGGCGGTAAGGTAAAAAAATCCTCAAACCCCCTTTGTGTGCAACGAATAAACCAGAGAGATTGCTGCAAAGGGTAAAGGTCTGAAGAGAGGATTGTTAGAAAACAAATGCTCATCAGGGGAATATTTGTCATATACAGAATGGATACTAATTCTGTAAATGTTTTTTTTGGTCTACAGATTGGTGAAAGGGGGATAAATCTTTCAGGTGGTCAAAAGCAGAGGGTAAGCCTTGCCCGAGCTGTCTATTCCAACAGGAACGTCTTCCTACTGGACGACCCACTTTCAGCCGTTGATGCCCATGTTGGGAAACACATATTTGAAGAATGTATCAAGAAGGAACTTAGAGGAAAATCTGTCATTCTCGTGACTCATCAGCTGCAGGTACATTTCAAATGGTTCTACCACAGAGTTTGTGAATGTAAATCCACAGAGTTTCTGGATACTACCTCCTTACATGTATAGAGTATAGAGGGCATTGGGTCATCATGCAGAACAGGGAACAAGTAAGCTGACATTTTTATTACTTTACAAATGGCCATGACAGCAGATTCCACCATCATTTTGTTGCTAGACATTCTAAACATTATACATAATGACTAACATTTTAGCATTTTATGTCTATGGGCCATAGTACAAAATGTTAAAAATCAAAACAGATCATTTCAGGACAATCTATGATAATTGTTTTATCAAGAGATAAACTACTTTAAATTTACAATGTTTTTGGCTTTCTCTAAAAATGTCTGTAAATGATTAATGTTTGTAATTTCTTTGGTTACAGTTTAGTGTTAATGATTTACCTTTTCTTTGTAGTACCTGGAGTTCTGTGATGAGGTCCTATTGCTTGAAAATGGAGAAGTGAAAGAAATGGGAACACACAAAAGCTTGATGGATGCGCAAAGCAAATATTCACAACTTATAAAGAATTTCCAACAGTCAGATGTAAGATGTTACTTCTGTTGTTTAATTACAATCCACAAGTGATGATAAACATACAATAAACAACAGTGAAAAAGTATTTTCAAACAATTTTCTTAACTAAGATGTGTTTTACTTCATTCTGTCTTCACCTGAATTAACCTCATAAACCTACTGCATGTCACGTATAGTTTTTCATTTTTTGTACTGCATTCTAGGAAATGTTTGTGTGTAATTGTAACTCAGTGTTCAAATGGAAATTCAGAGAAGATATGAAAAATTCAACTATGTCTTTACCCAAAACTATGTATAAAGATATACATATCTTGTGAAACCTTGAATATACATGTGAAACCTTTGACATATTTCTTATAATTCATGTCCTTTTTGTTTTTAAATTTTGAATTTCTCTTCAGTTGTTTAGCATGTTTTCTGTTTCGAAAGGATTCTAATGATGTAGATCGTGAAGAACCAGCACCTATCTCACAAGAAGAGGACTCTGGTCACGTGGCCAAAGGAATAGAAAATCCAGGTAGGTCTTTTTGAGTTATTTTGAGCTTTAATCACTGCGATTTGTGTTAAAGCAATCCAGATGCACCCCTTAATTATTATTCTTTTTTAGCTTTTGATATGTCAGATGAGAAGATGGAACCTGATGAGCACAATAACGATATCAGCACACACACTGAAAATGGTATGATTTAATTCTTAGGAATTGTGTTCTTTTACTAAATATGTTTATGACACAAAACGAAAATATAATTGCATGCAATTGATAAATTTATCATTTATATTGAAATTTATAAAAAAGTCAGGACTGTGATCTAAGTGACTTAATGGATTTGTGGTTTGATAATATTTATTTTATAGGCTTTATATGAACATACAGTAATACTAATTTATTGTTTACTAGCGAATATGAGCAGTAGTAACTGAGGATTCTAAAGATTGATTTGATCATTATTTACTTCTACTGTGACATCTCACATGGTATTCCTATCTTCTACTTTATTAAAGAAATGAAGGACCAACTTGTTAAAGGGGAAGTAAAACAAGAAGGTTCTGTTACCTGGAAGGCCTATCATCATTACGCTAAATCCTCTGGAGGTAAGGAAAACACATTTCAAGCAGAGTCTCCAGTTCCAGGGCAAACATGAAGTTTTGCACTTTTAGTAAACATCAGCATAATTTATTCTTCTGGGTCTTGGTTACAGTTATCTGTAGTATTACCTTATCTCTGGTTTTATCCTCCTTTTTCAGGATATATTGTGACCTTTTGTGTTTTGCTGCTATTCATCTTGATTGTTGGAGTAACAACATTTAGCAGCTGGTGGCTGAGTTTTTGGCTAGAACAAGGATCTGGGGTAATGTTATTTTTTTCACCATTGTCATTTAATACCATTTGAATGGTAAAGTCGAAGTAATATTGCTTCTTATTAGCAAGAAATATTTCAAATGTTATGTATAATAATATTTAAAATACTATTATGCAATCAAAATAAGGAAATGAAACAACCTTCCACACAAATATATACAGTATCTTCTGTATTCTACATTTTACTGTATATTTAAAAAAAAGATTGTCACATTGGATTGGATTTTTTTTCTTTACAGTTGCAGAATAACTCTTCATCTGCAAATCATTCTGACAAGATAAACTCTACAAGAGATGTGGGCAATATTACAGAAAACCCAGACCTTCATTTCTACCAATTGGTATATGGAATGACCATAGTAGCAATGGTTGTGCTGAGTGTCATCAAAGGATCTTCATTCACAAAAACAACTCTGAGAGCATCTTCAAATCTCCATGACAAAATGTTCCGCAGGGTAAAGACATAAGAATTATATAGATTCTTCCTTTATATTAATCAGCTTTATATTAATTTAAGAAGATCACTTCAAACTACCACAATTGTTCTTGAAAGACAAAGTTGAAAAATTGTCTGGAAATGCTGGAAAAAGTGTTTATCTTTATTAACTTTTTGAAATAAACAATACCTTTCAGATTTATTCATATCATTGCTGAAATATGAACTAAACATTCTAAGTACAATTACAGAAAGTTTTACAGTTAATGTGAAAATGTGAGGGACACATTTATTTACACCCCTGTAGGCAGTTTTATGTCCTCCTAGTTCTAAAGATTTCTTAGGGAAACAGTTTTGACCATTCCTCCATCTGGCATTAAATCCTTCAGATGCTTTACTTTCCATTTCCAGCCACAAATACTTGATTTGGTTAAGGTCAGGAAATTGATTTGGCCAGTAGAACATATTTAATTTGTGTGAAATTAATTATTTATTTGTTAAGGAATTTTGAGTCATTTTATATTTGGAAGTACTGTATGCTTTGGATCACTGGAATGCTGGAATGTCCATTTTTGGACAATATTGCACTTCTTGGTAGAGTGGTGTTTGGCAAAAATGTTCTGGTACGTGTTGGAGTTCATGATTTCTTAACAAGGGCTCCTGAGACCCTAGATGCAAAAGTGAATAGACCTTCAGCCATGTTTCATTGTGAGCATGTGAGTGTTGGGATTTTCATTCATTCAGTATGTTATTTGGCAAATTCAAGTAATTTCTTTTTGAGATTCACTCTTAGAAGATGCTTCTGTATCTGGAGACCATTGATGAATACCACAGTAGTGCAAGCCACTTAGAATAGTATGTTTCAGCATTTTATAACCCGAAGATGTCAGTTTGTATTGGAGATCTCTGAATGTTGCCACTGGATGATCTCCTCCTGAACGATTTGTCTCACAGTCTGTGGTGACAGGATACAGTATGCTTGGCTGGTTGGTACTACCAGTAGCCTTCAATTTCTTAATAATACACACTACAGTAGAAAGTGGTAGATTCATCTTTATATGGGATTTTTATATCCATCCCACCAAAATCAATGACCTTTTGCCTGTAATCATTGGAGAGCTCTCTGACCTTTACTGTGATGATGTACTGTATGCTACTCCTGAATGGCTTATGTGTGTTACCATGTTTTATACCTCAGAGAAATGGGAAACCTTTAGAAGTTTCTTTATAACCCTGCAGATTTCCATTGCTTCAAGAGAGCAAAAGGCTATTGTAAATTTGTTTTTGTCCGATTTATTTAAAGTTCAGTAGGTCAATCAAACCCTGATTAAGGCAGGAAAGAGGCGTCATTTGTATAGGGAGCATTACAGGGGTAACTTGCCTGGCTGAGAAGAATAACAGCCTGTTTGCAAACAAGATATGTGATTTGTACATTTAGGCACTCCAAAGTGGGTCAGACCACCTCCCAGTCTTTTATTTTAAACTCCATGAATAGGTATAAGTGTGAATAAATGTGCCCCTTGTGTTTTCTTAAATTTCAATATTTATGATAAACGTTATTTTTCTCACTGCAGTACTTTTACAATTACAGTTTAATGTTTTTAGATTGGTTTGAAGAAACACACATTATCTAATCCTTATTCTGTTACGTGTTTTTGTTCCTTTTTATATCAGGTATATGAACCTTTGGGGGTTATTGCAATTTTTTTAGTATTTGGAATGTTTGAATTAGTTGCTTTGAATGTAATTTTTATTTTATTATCAGCTTGTGATATTTCTCAATTTTCTGTAATAACTGATCAATTCCCCTTTTGCCTGATGTAATTGGTAAGAAAGATGGTATTGTATGTGTTCAACGTCTGTTCATCTTTTAACGCTGGGATGAAAGGAGGTTGCCTAAATGATAAAGAAAATGACAATCTTACATGAAAAGCTGTCCACATTTTTGTTTTATTTAGATCATTCACAGCCCAATGAGTTTCTTTGATACAACACCAACTGGAAGGATGATAAACAGATTTTCCAAAGACTTGGATGAGATTGATGTTGGGCTACCCTTCAATACTGAGAACTTTATACAGTTCACTCTTCAAGTCTTATTTACCATTGTCACCATCTCAGCTGTGTTTCCTGCACTCCTCATTGCAGTGGTCATTTTGATCATTATCTTTGTGGTCATTCTATCGTAAGTCAAATATATTTTCTCACTACATATGCACAGTAACTGTAGTAACTGACAGTAACTGACATTTATATACAATATTTAATTTAACTCTTTAATTATTAATTGAAAGGCCTAATTAAAAACCTTTTCAGTTGAATACTTACTTGTTATCAATTAAAAATTGAAAGCCTTTGTTTGAAATCCTACAGCGTTCTTTTTACTTTTATATTAAATTAACAATGGAATGAAATAGGTACAAGACAAAAGTTAATACATTATTTGCTATTTACCAGTTGCAAAACAAGTATAACACCATGACAGATGCTGTAATAAATAAGTTAATATAATATATTTGTATAAATGTGTATTCATTTTTACAACATAGTGGAAACATTTTTCATTACAGGTCACACTGGTACATTAGAAAAATTTTAATACATAATCATTCACTTGGAAAAAGCTATTATACTGTATGTTTTTTTTCATCTCTATGAGGTTTCTTAATGAGTTCATTCTAATGTCATATTTTAGAGGAATGCCTGCTGTCTTAGTTTAAAGGAAGTTACATTTTTACTCAGAGTTCTTGTGAAGCATTTTCAAAATATATGTCATGTTGTATATTTTTATATTAGCAAGTCCGGATTACTTTTTGTTTTCTTTTTTAAGATAATCGTGCTGCTAACTAAATGTCTATACTGTAGCTGTAATTACTGTACAGCTAAAGACTGTCTTACCATGTTGGAAGAAGACTTAGATACCCTTAGGTCATGAATGGCTGTATTCATTCTCTAAAAATATTATTTTGTGTTACTGTATGTATTACTAGTAGAAAAAGCGTGACAGCATGACTAGGTACATAATTTTCAATTTAAAACTTTTTTTTGTTTAAAAAAACATTCAAAACAAGATTTTTCTGTGCTATTTTTAGATTGTGTTCTCCTATTATTACAATGTGTTCACATTTTGTGGGTTTTTTTTTCCATTTGGTTCTTGTGATTGAAAAATTAATAAGTTTATTACAAAGATGTAAGTAACCAGACTTTTTCCTTTCAGCATTTTCATGAGAAGCATTAGAGGGCTGAAAAGGATGGAGAACATTAGTAGATCTCCTTGGTTTTCTCATACTACATCTACCATTCAAGGACTCAGCACCATCCATGCCTACCAAAAGGAAGAACACTACATAACAAAGTGAGATTTCATCTTTTTATTTTTTTGGTGATGCTTTGAGGTAATGGACACAAATTCATCATTATTTTCCTCAACTGTGCATTAAATAATAAGGATTTGTTTGACACAAGCATTTCAAGTCCAAAACTGTATTTTAATAAGCAATCTACATCCAACTGTTCTTTCTAATTATGAGAAATGTACCAGTTATTTGTCCAGTCATAGCAGAAAAAAAGCTGTTTTGATAATTATCAAGTATGATTTCCCTTCATTCATCTATTAAGATACATTACTGATTGCTCTTTCACCCCTTTAGCAAATTTGTGTAAATTTTGTCTAATTTTGCTTTCTTCTTAATTATAGGTTTAAGGTGTTGAGTGACACAAATTCTAGTCACTTCATGCTGTTCAACTGTGGCTCAAGATGGCTTTCTTTTAGGCTGGACTTTCTAACTACTACAGTTACTCTACTGGTTGCGCTATTTGTAGTTTTAAGTCCTCCATCAATTAGCCCAGCCTTAAAAGGTCTAGCTCTCTCATACACTATCCAGGTAGGACAATTAAGGATTGAACAAACTAAATTCTGAGGTATTTTATTAAAATTCGATATTCTGAATTTACAATCTTATAAGGGTACATTTTCATTATCACAATCATGTCTGAATTCTTAGGGATGGCTATTTTTTTAAATCACATAGAACCAGAATACTGTAAGTCATCCATTTTAATAATTCTCTTATTCCACAATCCCTTATTCGCAAAATGACAAAACTGTAGTCAAAAATTAACTTAGTCATTTTACAAGAAAGGGACAAGTTTCAAATGATCAATTATTAACACAAAAGGTTAACATGCATGATTAAGAATAAAATGTAATACATTTGAATAGTCCACCTTGTTTTAATGAAATAGTGGGAAATATTTTAGAAACAAAAGTTTTAATTCTGTCTTTTTCCATTTTAGTTGACTGGAATGCTGCAGTTTTGTGTGCGATTAGGAACAGAATTAGAAGCAAAATTCACTTCTGTTGAGAGAATGTTGGAATATATCCTGGTAAGAAGAAAAAGATTATTATTATTGTTATTATTATTTTTAGTAGTAGTATTATGGAATATCTGCCTACGTTAATGTTTTGTATTCAGTTAATAATCTTTAGCACAGGATCGAACTAGTTGAAACCATCTTTGTGGAAACTATTTTACTCCTACTGTATATCTAGAACCTTCTGTTCTGATGCTCTTAAAAATATGCCATGCTAATTCATGCATTCATTTATTTCTTTATGTGCTGAAAGCATTCACAATTTATAGCACCTTTGAGTTAAAGTCAGTAATGTTTCTTCTAGGGAACTGTCTCAGAGGCACCCAGGAAGATTAAGAATGCAAATATCCCAGAGGGCTGGCCTCAAAATGGTGCAATTACTTTTAATGACTACTGCATGAAATACAGAGAGAACACTCCAGTTGTGCTAGATGGATTAAAATTAAAAATTAAACCAATGGAAAAAGTTGGTATTGTTGGAAGAACAGGTTCTGGTAAGATTTCTTTTTCTCATTATAAATTGTATTCTTATTTTGAATTGAAAAATAACATTCAGATGGCTGTAATTGAACAACTTATATTTTTCAAAGTTTGTAATTTTCGATAATCAAAAAATTACATATACAAAACGTAGCATTCATTTTTAGACTATTATAATAGATTATCAACTGTGCCGATTATCAATTCAATCATTCATATTTAAATTTTCACCTGAGATTGTTAAATTGAGATTATGTCATGCCACTTAGAAATATGAAATCTGTCATTTGAAATCAAACAAATTTTAAAAAGAGATCATGCATACTTGTCCAGTTTATTTTTTAAATCAATGGCTAAAAACAGATTTGTGAAAATGCCCTTTATGATGTTGGTAATTTAAATCTTGTTACACAACATTTAGATGTTCTTTGAGAATTAGAGATTTAGTTGGTTTTTTATCCTTCTGTTTTGTGTGATTAAATTAAGCAACCTTGTTTTTATCCTCAGGGAAATCGTCTCTTGTTGTTGCTCTGTTTCGACTAGTTGAGCCAGCCTCTGGAACAATCCTAATTGATGATGTGGATATTAACACTATTGGTTTGGAAGATCTGAGAAGTAAACTGGCAGTAATACCCCAGGATCCAGTGCTTTTCACTGGTACTGTAAGGTAATAACTATGAACTTTATAGAACTTTTATAGCTTCATTAGTTTTGGTCCATATGTAAGAAATAACACCATGATGTGCATATTATTTTGAACTTATTTGTTTTTGCACATCTAACAGTATATATAAATAAGAATACTGGGAATATTATATTATATTTGTATGACTTATAACCAATGTATATATGTGTGGAACCCAGCTGTTCAAATGCTGATTTGTCACTTATATTTAATGGTCAGCTTATGATAGAGATAATGCATAAGCCATTGGACTGATAACAGACAAGTTTTGGGAACAAGTCCCTGTTGTAGATTGCAGTTGTACCCTTGAACTAGGTACTTGAATCCAATTGCTCCAATACATCCAACTGTATAAGTGGGAATCTGGATTGCAAGGAAGTCATTCTGTGCCATTGTGTAAAAAAATTGACAAACACAGAAATGTTACATTAAAGTTCTTTTCTAAGTGTATACACCAGGGAGAAAAGTATATTTCCAAATACACTTGTCAGACTATAATGCTAGAGTTAAGCTCTCATTCACACGAAGAGACAGCAGAAGTATTCCAATCAGAATATTTGATTGCAAAAGAAAGTCTAGCCTTTACCAAAATGGATCACTTAATTTCACTTCCAGAAATAAAAGAAATGGTGTAAAAATCAACTCCAACAAGGCCACTCTTGCGCAAACATTTTTTTTCACATAGTCCATGAAATGAAAGAGAAAGTGTTTCAATGCTGAAAGCTACCAAACCTGGTGTGAGCATTACAATTGATGAAAGACGTGTGTAAGCTTTAAACTACCTATTAATCTCAGATTGAATGTAATGCAGCACTGTGGAGAAATTTTAAAATATTATTCTTTATTTGGGTTAAATGTTGAAAGCTGCCAAACCTGGTGTGGTTAAACTCTAATTATTTAGCTCAGATTGAATGTAATGCAAAATTGGTGGAACTTCAACAGAGTGCATCTGCAGAAGATCTGCATAACTATTATCTGCATAATAGTTAAGAAAATAAATGCTCAGTGTTGCGAAAGATTGTAAGCTGAAATGGTAAGTGAAGAAACAGGATTGATTGCTTGACTCAAGAAAAAGTTTTACTTTCTAAACTCAGTCCATGGCCTTGCACATCATCTCACTGTAACAGCTGTAAAGCATACCCCCAAACAGTCAAAGTATAATTCGACTCCTTCAGATCACAACCAGATATCTCCCAAGATAACACATTTCCAACCTGCTAGAGAATATGCAGGACCTGTTTTGGTGTTCTTAGTCACCTTTGGGTTCATGGAAGAGAATCATCCTTTTGGCAAGGGAAAGGCAATAAATAATTTACTTAAGATGGCAAAAGAGAAATAAAATTAGAACAACTAGTTAGAAAATGTCTATTAACATTTATCATTTTTATTTAATGTTTCAATTGCTAGTGAACAACTATTCTATTAAGGTCTCTTAATGCATTCATATTTTAAATAGTACAATGGAATGGAAGACAGTACTCATGAATGACATTTTGTTAATACAAATGCATTACAATGTGTATGACAGTACAGAAGTATTAACATAATGCTTGTTTTAAATGCAGGTATAATCTGGATCCCTTTAACAATTACACTGACAGAGACATCTGGAAGGCCCTTGAAAACACATATATGAAAGACAGTGTATGTGAAATCTACATTGTATTACTTTTTAAAAATATTTACTACTGTAAAGCAAAAAAAGTTGAAACTTGAAATTAGTTTCGTCACATTTCTCCTAACCTAAGTGAAATACAAATACTTGCCATTATATGCAAATTGTTATTTTGAGCTATGTGTCAAATAGTTCTGTATTCTGCTGACAAAGTCTGTGTAAGGTGCTGCATTCAATGCAATGAAATTGCCCTCAAGCCTAACCTGATATGCCTGAATAAATGTGACATTTCATTCCACATAAAACCAATAACAAATACATAAATCCATTTAGATTGCATGACATTTTCTGTTTTGTACCTTTCACTCTTCATTTAATTTTAATTTAGAATAAAGAAAATATGTTGCTTTATACAGTATGACAACTGTAAAAATATAACAATGAGATTATAATTCATAATTTTATTAACTTTAATATTAACAGTCTTATTCAATTATTATTGAATATTACTTGCAATATTTTAGTCCTTTCCTATTAAATGAATGGATAGCACTCAATTATGTGTACAAAAGGTTAAAAGGTTTTTCTATCACTTATTTTGGCTATTAATATTTATACTCTTTTAAAATTAAAGATCTCTAAGCTACCCAAGAAGCTGGAATCTGTGGTGGTTGAAAATGGAGAAAATTTCTCTGTGGGTGAAAGGCAGCTGTTGTGTATGGCTAGAGCCCTCCTCAGAAACTCAAAGGTCAGGAGAAACGTTACTGCCCTCTATTTGTTTGTGCGGATATTGAGTGGGTGTATTAGTTTTTTTTGAAAATTTGTTTGGAGATTCTACCAAAATGTGTTTAGAATTGTTGAACGTACATATCAAATCACAACATGATAAATGATTTATAATTGACGACAAAGACATTTGCCTTTATTCTACATTTAATTTAGTTAATTGTATCTATTCAGTGTCAAAAACACAATAAATTGACAACAAATTTTCCAATACAAATTTGAACCTTATGTCCTATATGGGCACCTTAAGGAATCGATGTGTAACATAGGGTAGCAATAATAAAACTGTTTTACCAGATTGTGTAAAATCTTAATTGTTCTTGTTCTTTGTTGGAACATTATTTCCCTTACAGATAATTCTACTGGATGAGGCCACAGCTTCCATCGACTCCGAGACTGACGCTCTGATTCAGCACACTATCCGTGAAGCATTTCAGGACTGCACTATGTTGACCATCGCTCACCGCATTAACACTGTGCTAGAGTGTGACAAGATCCTTGTCATGGAAAATGGAAAGGTGCAGAACTGATTTAAAAAAAAAAAACACTGCGAGAAAACGCTTAAAGATTGTTTTAGTGTGTAATCAGAGAAATCAACTTGTCAGAATTATAATTGCTTTATGAGGTTTGATTCGAATCATTCCTGGAAATGTATGATTTTTCTCCAGACTCTTTTTAGTCGGCTGCAGTGGAACTGAAGGATCACCTTCTGGCTGTGGTAGCTGCCAGTGCTTGGTGCATATACAGAAATCTGATGCAACCCAACCCTGAGTTTTGTTTTCTTGTCTGTTCTTTTCATCCTGTAGGCCGTTGAATTCGACAGGCCAGACATCTTGCTGCAGAGGCCGGATTCATTATTTGCATCACTTCTCTCGGCTGCCAACAGAGTGGAGACGTGAGAGGGGTTGAGAATGTAGCTGCACTGCTGCACTCCTTGGTGACTTTCAACACCTAAAGGCACTTACAGTATGTCCATTTTGTAGAGGCTTTGTCTCTTATAGTTCTAAAGCTAACAGAAAGAATAACTTATCTTCATTCAATAACTCTATTTTGTCATGTGTCCATCTGCATTCTCTTTAAGGGCAGAGAAAGACATGGGACACAAAAAGATATTATGTTACATTAATTGCAAACACCATTAATGTATATAAGACAGGATCAGCCCCTGTAATGAAAAACAATATTCTTCATGAGGAAACCTCTTATTCTCTAATACCCTTTGAAACTGTAAACAGAAAAAAAGAACTGACCTTGCATGTGCTGCTTATTTTGTTCATGTTACTGATTCTCTTAGCAGCTGGTATCTGCTAAAGCTGGTGGTATTAAAATGATTATAATCATTATAACAGGATATGTTAATATATTTTAAGTGTCCATGTAAATATGCAAAAGATTAAGATAAAGGTTTTACTTCACTCTGCATGTTTGCCCTTCAATTCTGAAACGCCATTATATTATTTTCTTATTTCTCAACTGTTGCATGAATATAGTTCCTATGAATTTGTTAGATTGCAGCTGGTCAGCACTGTTTAAGGTACTCAGTAATATACTGCATTTTCAAAGATGAAACAGTTTTTTATTAATATATAACTATTACTATTACTATAATATATTTATAAACTACTAGAGTAACAATGTCATTTGAAAGCTGTATGTACGGGTGTGGTGTATGGATTTTCAAGATTTTTTCATGTATTTTGAAATAAGTAGCTATTGTACACAATTCTACTTAATTTAAATTCAAAATAAACTAGCAGTTCAAATATTCCCTTCTCCATTTATCACTGGATTTACCTATTCTCAGATGTTCCAGATCAAATGTCTTTTTAAGATTTACCAGACATCATGTCTCATCTACTAACAAGTGCAATATAGCAATATATTGTATAACATTTTGAGCTCATATCTATAAATCTAAAGTGTTTATAGTAATAGTTTAACTACTGTACCTAGCACATTACAGGTTTCCTCCATTAAGAATAATCACAATGTCTTTTAAAAATCACCTGAATTGTTTCATTCCATAGTTCAGTAAGTATATATCAGCAGAGCCTCAATTTTACGCAAGGACTTACACAAGGACTCATCCTTACATATTCATTTTTGTTTTGGATATAACTCACAAATTAAATTCAATAACCTTGAGGTGAGGTCTGCACTTTCATTTGGCAAAGGAACCCATTACTGCACCAACCACAGTTCATAAAATAAAAAATTCCTGAATAATGGGGTGGTTCATGTTTTTAACACAATACAGTCAGAATTGTTGACTGTTTTTTAAATCAAGATCTCATTAATGACAAGAAGAAAATGGGCTTATCTATTTTATAGTTGTTCAGATGGGTAGCTGTGTCAACATGCATAGTCTGCAAAGTCTGGGTAACAATTTTACAGTCCAGAATGCTACATTTTTACCATGGATATCATGTTTTTCTACACCATAATTTCCCACAATGACGGTCTTACAGCCCTCAAGCACATTCTAGACAAACGCATTGTGCTTGATCCACCCACCCACACTCTAGTGTGTCTTGTGGAATTAGTTCTCACACTCAATGCCATCATTTAATAACCTTTTTTTATCAGCAGGTCAGTGGAGTCACCTTGGTCACTAGAATGGGACCCAGCTATGCCAATATTTTTGTCCGTTGGGTAGAAGAATGCTTCTTTGCCTCCTATACTGGCTTTTTCCCTGACCTCTACAAACGATATATTGATCACTGCATCGGTGCTGCTACATGCTCTAATGACCAGCTAGAGCACTTCCTGCATCAATTCACTATAACTCTCACCCATCCCTCAAATATACAGTTATCATATCTTCCACCATTTCTAGACATAAATGTATTTGTTAAGCATCCACGATTCTCATCCTCGGTCTTTTACAAACCCACAGATTCACACAGCTATCTCCTGTACAGCTCTTTTCATCCCACTCACACCAAAAACTCTCTCCCTTTTTCACAATTCCTCAGGCTACATCCACTCTGCATTGACGACATGGATTTCCAGAACCAAGCACTCAAAATGTATTATTTTTTCATCAACAGAGGATACCCCACCCATGTTATCCATAGGGCCCTCACCCGGGCCAAAAACACACTCGGCTCATAAACTCGACCAGGAACTCCCAGGCTCACATCTGCATTCCTTTGGTGCTTCCCTACCACTCTAACATACCTTCTATCCCCAGGACCATTATTAACAACTACTCCATTTTACAGGGCGATCCCTCCATCGGTACCCTTTTTTCTAACAGTCTAATCATCTCACACCGCCGACCACCTAATCTATGTAAACTTCTGGTTCACAGCTCCCTTGACTACACTCGGCAATCAACCCCACCCAGCACCTTCCCCTGCAACAGAACTCACTGCATCACCTGCAAATACATATCTAACAACAAGCTCATTCAGGGCCCCTAAGGTCAATTCTGGATCACCCAGATGACATCCTGTACCTCCAGCAACCTCTTTTACTGTATCTCCTGCAAAAAATGCCCAGCTATCTACAGTATGTTGGGGAAACTGGAAGGAGACTAGGAGACCGCTTCAGAGAACATGTTCGGGCTGTGAAAAAAATTAAAGATTTCTCCAAACCCATAGTTTCTCATTTCACCTCAGACAGCCATGATCACACTGATCTCTCTGTCTCTGTTCTCAAAGAAGGGTTTTTCAACTCCCATAGCAGAAAGACAACAGAAACGAAACTTGTCCTGAAACTAGGTTCACACCATCCACCTTCTCTCAATGACCGATTTTGTGTAATCTTCTCTACTCTCATGCAAGTTTTGACTTCACACTTTTCTTCACCCTTTTGCACTTTGCACTTCCTGAGTGGCCTCTCTGCCCCTATTGAATCCTCCCCTCTCCCAGCTTTTGTTCTTCTATACTATTTAACCTTTGCTGTCTGTCCTGTCTTTCTTACACCTGAAGAAGGCTACACAGCTGAAACATTGTGTTTTCTCTCTTCTCTTTTCAGCATGGAATGAACCTATTACTTGTTCCTAAGCCATTATTGTTACACTTACTCTCAAGTCAGGTTATTGCTTGATTAATTGAATCTATTTAGGTGTTTTCAGTTTGTAAGTGCAAAATACCAGCACTGAGACAATATTCACTTTGCTGTTAAAGGTCCTTACTTGCATCTACCGTTCTTGTAGTTAGTCCTTTCCTATATATTAGTTCTGCATATATCTTTTAATTAAAATACACTTAACAAAAACTTGCAAACAGGATTAAACCTTTGGTTGCATAATATGTAGTTTAACAGTAATTTGGAAGGGTTTTGACTGGCAAATATTTTTTGTTCCTTTTTCTTCATAATGGTTCTTATATAGACAATATTATATGTCTTTTTTTTCTCAAAACAGTGTATTATACTATTCATATTTCATCACTTTGGAAAAAATACAATGCTTCAGTCATGTGTTAACCACAAGTCTCTCTGGAAGTGGTTATCACACCTCTGTATGTTTTTAACATACACAGTTAGGTATTCAGACTACAACAGCTGATACAGTAATACCTGTAGTAGTACCTAATTATTCACTTTCACCACTGAATTCATACACTAAATATACACTAAATCTTTACACCATCTTTGAAACAGCAATATACCTGCAGTGTATATTTTGCTTAGGCATTATTTAAATGCAATGAATTTGTAATGTTGTACAAAATTAGAACGGCTAAATTAAATAAATTTTTCATCGAAGACCATTAAACAATCCACACTATCGGAAAACACAATTTTTGAAAGGTGCCTCAGGGCTCAGAGTCAGCTAGTGTAGCCTGTCACAAAAACTTAATCTTTCTTTCCTCCCAAACAATGCAGTACCAAACAGTTTGGAAGCAGGCTTTGTCAAACACAAAAAACATTTTTGCATCTTTTATCAATGCATTATTTTTCACATAATTTGTAGCAGGAAATGTCAGTGCTACCATACAATGAAAAAAAGCAATAGTTAAAGAAAGCAATGGAGCCTTTTCACATGACATTGCTTTCACCAACATAGAGCATTTTCTGTAGATCACTGCATAATTTGAAAAAAAAATCAAGAGACACTTATTTTTAATGATGCTATTAGCAATTTTAATAACTGCAATATAGCAAACATTTGTAATTGTAAGTTATAGCAACATCTTAATGAAAAAAATGGTTCTTAAATTCCAAGCAAGAAACCTGTTTGTAATTTGTTAGAAGGAAAATAAATCTCTCTCATACAGTAGGAAAATGTTAATGTCAGAAGCACTCTCAGACAGGCCTCTCAGACAGTATACTTTAAATGCAAGAAAATCCAATAATATTTTAGTGCCTTTATAATACAGTGCCCATAAAATCGATATGCAGTGAAACTCATGACTCCATGGTGATTTCAAAGTATACACATCTCTATAAAAAAATCAATCAAAATTTCATTAAATATACAGAGACCTTAATTTAAAAACAGAAACCAGTCCCAGAACTTGAGATTTTTTTCCACAAGGTATTAGAAAACTCAAAAATACATTTCTCAAAACAGTATTTAAAATTGCATTCACCTGTCAGAATAATAACTTTTATTTCACTTTTTTTAACACATTATCACACTAATCTATAATGATATAAAAATGCTTTTAGTAAAATTTTATGCATTTTCAGATGCACTACGGACTGTAAAAAGTAACAACAATTTAAGTATTGCTAAAATTAACATGGAATGTGAAAGTTAAAATTCTCTAAAAGGCATGATTTTCAAAAAGAAAACACTGAAAAATTTACCTTGTTAAATATGCTTTGGTGCATATTTAAAATTCAATTTATTTTCAAATGTGTTTGTATCGCATTTCTATAAAAAATGAAAAATCTGAATGTATTCCACTTCATAGTTTTAAATACTGTCTTATTTGAAATGGCATCTGCATGTTCCCTTCTCAGTCAATTCTCATGTAACTGAAGCATTTATTTCTGGGCATTAGGAGTCTGTTTCCTTCCATTTTTGTCCTTCCTCCAGTGGATTTCTTGCTAACATAATCCAAAGAGACAGTGTCATTGGGCTCAAAACTTCCCAGTTATTTCTGTGTCATATGATTTATAATGGTTCTGCTTAACTCCATGAAACCAAAACCATTCCCTCCTCATTGAAAATCTTTGTTGACAACATTTTCCACAACAGTACTGGTTGTAGAAGGAACCAATCTACAAAGGTCTATATTGTAAGAACCGTTGCCACAGTTATCGTAGATGGTATTGGGCAGTAAAAGAAAAAGCACAAAAGAAATGAGACATAAAGATCAATTATCAATCAGTGGATGAACATACTGAAGCTTGTGTGCTTACAAAATCATGCATTTATTCAGTTTTATCCATTTGTTCAATTTAAATTAAAGCAAACTCAGCTTTAATATTAGATCATAGTGCAAACCTGTATTTGTGTAAAAATATATTGTTTCTTTGCATGCCAGATACATACCGATACAGGAGTTTGCTTTGGTAATCAGAAAAGACCAATCTATACATTTTGGGAAAGTGGTCAAACATAATGATTTCATTTCTTAATCAAGAAACAATTTTAAGTTGTAAAGAGTTTAAAACTAATTAAATTATCATTCATTTTCTGTGCATTGAAACCTCACTTAGACAATGAGAGATGTACTGTATTATACTCAAATATGGTTTGCCAAGAAAAATGACAGGCAATGCTGCATGAGACCAATTATTATAGACATAACTATTATTTTTACACTTCTCCATTGTACACAGTACCCTATCTTTGTCACAAACTCTGCTCTTGAAACCTATAGTTAGCTAGGAAGAGTTTAGCCTACAAAAGTTAGGTTAATAAGTAATATATTTTTATATAACTCTTATTCTTTTATATTACTCTATATTACTATTATTATTTTATATTATTTTATTTTACAGTCAAAACTCCTGAGAAAACCTAATATTAAAAAAAAACACCATATACACGTACATGAATATGTTTAAGGTTGCACAATGGAGACAAAAAATACAAAAAAGAAACAGAAACTAGCAACTGGACCACTTTTGACTACTGTGAACATAAACTGCAGTTTTTATATTATTATTATTACTTTTTTAAATAAATTAAAACCTAGTAACTTTTAATTGTCTGAATCTATATCTAAAATAAGTATCCAAGTATCTAAAAGAAGCCTGAATAGAAATACTTTTAGCACAGAAAGAAAAACTTGAGCACAGGTGCTTTGCATTTTCAGTTTTATTTTACAACAGAACAAAAGTCTGAACCTCTTTGATATATTGCATTGTGGAATTCTGCAGATAATTAAATGATTAATTTATTTATTGTTTGTGTGAATGTCATGTTTGTTGGCAAGGCACATGTCTGAAAGACAAAATAATCTTTTTTGTGCTGTGATTGCAAAATCTTAGAGTAACAAAGTCATTATCTAACACAAGGATTGCATCTAAATGTAAATGTGCCTTTGTGTCCCTCCTTCCAAACATTCTTTGAGGAATGGAGCATGACAGACTACGAACTGAAGAGGATGAGATTCCAGTTTAACAGCTAAGCTTTAAACAGACTTATGTTTCACTATAAGAGTAATATGACATTTAACATGCAATAATCCTAAAAATATATTTTAGAAAATCCACACTTTTGATGATATACGATATACACCATTTAATCTTATCCACACACTGTATCTTGAATTCCTGGTTCACTTGTGCCTTATACCTAAACTACTATGTGAAAAATATAATTCTTCATTTAATTCAAATTACAGAAAGTGGAGAACTAGCTTTTACAGTATATTTCCTACAGTATGTGGTATTTTCAGTCGGAAAGTGACTTTAAAAATATCATAATGTAAAATACATAATATACAGTATATACACTGTACAGTATATGAAGTTGTAACATAACATTTGTAACACTAGTATAAAAGCAAATTAAATTAATCTACAGGCCATATTACATATACACAAAAACATTTCTTTTTGAATACTATAAATTTAAGTCCAGCTTCATAATCTGCATACTTATACCACTTAAAAGGTAGACTTCATCATCTCGTGTGAATATGGTTAATTAGAAGCCTACATACTTTTTATCTTCGATAGAAACTGTTCTGTAATAATACCCATCCATTTACATGCTGATGTGCAATTACAAAAAAACTCTGTATATATTTTTAATAGTTATAATTTCATTTTCTGGAATCAGAAGATCAGATCAAGTTTAACAGCATTTTTTATTAATACTACTTTTATGTCAAAATAATTTAAATTAAGGGTGATTTTTTTGATGTAATGCTCCTAACAGGATTTAAAGATGCCGAGGTACTTGTCTTGGAGAAACACAATAGAAAACATGGTCTCTCAAGGTTTGAAGTCTTGTTTTACAGTACTGGCTGAGAAAGGGACAGAGTCTAAAAAGTGCAAGTAATGTATAGGTGTATAGGAAGTTAACAGTGCACTGATATAGGTAGGAAGCAACCATTCAAGTCCTTTAGTGTGAGCAGCAGTATTTGGATTTATTTATTCTGAAATTCCCAGTGAACCAGTGCAAGGAAGCTCATGCATTTTCATCCAAGTTAAGATTTAAGCATCTGAGTTCTGTACTCATTGGAACTTGTTAAGAAGACGTCTGGTTAAGCCTAGAAATAACAATCGCATTCATTAGCTTCCCTTCATCAGACTGGAGAGATGCGAATGGATACCAGCAATATTACTAACAAAGAAAAAAGACACCTTCACACCACTGTGAACTTCTAAAATAAATCTCAGATCAAATATGAGACCAAAATGTCTTGAGTACCTGGACTGATTCCAATTATGTTCTTGGTCCCCATGATCACAATTTTCATGTGCCTAGACCACAAAAAACAAGAAAATAAATCTAACATCTCTAAGAACATTAAATAATTTTTGTTAGGCTTTTCCCATTGGCTCCTACAGTCATTACATTGTCAATACTACAGTATATGATTACAAAGGAGTACATATTCATGGCAAGTCACTACTGACAAATGAAATGGTACCAGTGCAGGAAAAAAAAAGTTTCATTCTTAAAGAACAAGCACTGATTGCATATTGATATGCATAAGTTGTGTTCAGATTGGTTGAAATGATTATGTCTATAATAGACTTGAAATGAATACTCCAGCACCGGGTTTCCGACCCGGAGGGCCTTGTGCACAAGTGACAGGAGCAAATTTGAGATGTGTGCTACATCATAAAGTTTTTTACTTTCAAGTAACCCAGGAATAACCCAGGAATGTTAAACCGATGCCACTGTGGAATAAAAATACAAAATTATGACAGAAAACATTTCAAGGACACCTAAAATAAACCACCTGACAGACACTAATGCATTTTGGAGTTTAATAAGGATTACAGTGCTAGAGCTGGGGTGATTTACAATTTATTTATTGCTTTAAAACCTGTCTAAGGTAATAAAGGGTAGGCTTTACAATATCTTCAGGTGATGCTGTGTCATGAGAGTTAGGGTAAAGGTTTATGTCTTAGGGGAGATAAGGGTGTTCCATTACATTCAAAGCACATTTAAAGCATGTGTGAATTAGAACACCTATCTTATTTTTCCAGTTTAAAAATACTGTGTGTGTTAAAAAAGAGCTAGCCTTGAACTTTATGTCCTGATCAGCTTGTAAACAAATGTAAGGTATTCAAAGACTAAATTGTAACCATCTGACAAATGCATTTTATTTCTCTTTTTTAAAATTAAATCTTACTTAATCTAGGTCTGTCCCATTTGAGTAAATAAAGATGACAGTGCAGTTTTCAACTTAAATCAATTTGCAATGAACAGGATTTTAGATTTTCTGCCTACAGGTGTATTTACCAATGTCGAAATCCTTGTGAATTCACTGAAAGTAAACACCAACAGATAAAACGGTTTCACTGTAATACAGATACTTATCATGCTGACAGGACAAACTCAACAACACTGACTCATTTCCCCTTTTCAGTCTGGTGTAGCTGCTGTACATTTTATTTACCTCTAGTGCAACCCGTAATCGTAAGACTGTGGAGCCAGAATACTGTAAGTTAGTATTGACAATACTGCCAACACAACAAAAAGTCTGTGATAGCAATATGCTAAAGTGAATTGAAGAACCACTCCTTTTATGTAAAAAAATATAGTCTAACTTTGCTATGACATAATAATAATATAGTCCTTAGTATCTTCATGTTTGAACATGAGAATGTATTAATTATCTGGCTACGAGCACTGAGCAAGGTTTATAGTTCCTTGGTAGAAATATGTCTCAAAGAAATAAAGGAAATATTCATTTTCACATTTTTAAGGTTAAGGAAACTTTCTGAATGAAAAGAAAAACGTAAATATTCTTCAACAACTGTTTAATCTGTTATTCACACTTCTGATAATATAATCATTCTGCACTAAACATGTAAACAGGGATATACATAATAAGAACAAAAAAATACAGGTAAGAGTATTTTTATAAATTATTCAGAGCATCCAAAAACTCACTGCTTAACTCAACAGCTCCTAACCACTATATGTGAAAAAATAAGTAGTTCAAAATACAAACAAGCATTAATCACTGAAATGTAAAATGTACTGTAGCTTTCAGGGCAGCCTTTTTTTAAAATGCATGGCACAGCTGTATTGCCGAACATTCATGTGTCTCACAGTCAAAAAGCCTGAATACATGTACTCCTCAGGTCATCTGTCTCCCTCAATCTTTTAGACTGCTTCTCAGACTTTACAGTAAAAGCCTCAAGAAGATTATTTTTCCTTATTTGTATAACACTGTTACACTTCTTAAACAGTTTCATTCATGCATTCTAATTTACTGCCTTTTATATTGAAACGACCTCCGTTGCATAATAGTAAGTGAGAAAAACACAGCAGCTGCAGGGTTCATTTCTTTCAGCTGACAGAACAGGGGTCATCATTGCTTGGCTTCACGTCTCCCTCCAGCAAAGCAATCATCACAGCCTTGGTCAGGTAACTAGATGTTCCTCTTTTGCCAAGTGAAGGGGTATTGTAGAATGCTGTCATATCATCCTGCAGAATAAATGTATATTCTGTTTTATTTGAAGACCAAAGAATAGCAAGCTTATATACATTAATATTCCTAAATGAATGTCTAGTAATCATTTTCATATTAATAAAAATCTTGATTTAGTTTTTAAAATTTTAAAGGAGATTTTAAGATTTAGCTAATAACACTAAGTAATTGAAGTTTACCAAACTGGGTCAGCTTCTTCACCTTTTTAATAGCACTCTGCTGTTGTTTATAAAAAATGTGGCAAGAAGAATGTTACAAAGGATAAGCAGACACTTATTATATCATCATTTTAAATTTTGACATGTTTAGGGAATACAATAAAAAAAAAAGATTGCTACAGGTGTACATGTCAGTTCTGATTTGTCACTGCTTGTAAATCCCAGAAGTGTGTACCCACCTGTTTCTCCACCCCCTCCAGTCGGCTTCTGTCCCTCTGGAAGTCATTAAAAGCCTCCTTCACCAACTTGTCCAAGTCCACTTTATCCTGAAACTCCAGTTCAGGGTTTCTCTCCAAAACAATAGACACAACCATCAGCAGCTGTAATTACAAAAATAGCAATAGTAAATAAGGCATTTCTATACCTTTTAGAACATTTACAAATGAGAGGAGGCCATTCAACCAATCTAAAGAAGTAGGTGGGGTATAAAGTTGGGTTTTTGCCAACTTTGGGTATGGCATATGCCATAAAAAGAAATTATCTTTCATTTACAGTGGACACTTATTGGATCATCCTTTGAAGCACGTATTTAACAATGTGCATTACAAACCCCTATTTAATGTTTAAATCAAGGTTTACTAAGAAGGTATAATGTTGTCTGAGGTCTTCAAAATCTACCAGTGTAACAGCACAATGAGAAGTTATGCAAGTTAAAGCCATTTCACGAGAGACTTAAGAAAGAACACAATCCTGGTCATACCTCCACAATGATTTGCCTGTACTCTGGTTGAACAATATTCTTCAGCATGTCTTCCACCAGTAAGGAAAAGTTCATCTCATACATGGTCATATCTGACAGTGTTGGTTGCTTAAGGGAATAAAGTAACAGTTAATTACTCATTAAACACTTTTAAGAAGCTCCACTAAGTGATTTCTGAGGCAGTTACTGTAGTAGGGAGGTAGGAGTATATTTAATTTTAAAGACATGAAAATAATGTAGTACGTAGTGCAATTAAACCAATACTTATACATAGAGAATGTTAAGATACATTACATGACTACTTGACTTAACAAGTTCTAATCAGTAGTCCTTTGAATCACACACCTTACCTTTTACTTCAACAAAAAAATGATGCAACAAGCCAATTAATTTGTCTTCATCGTATTATAATAAATACTACTATTAATGCGGCCTTCATGGTAGATAAAACACTTTTATCTAACATATTTCATCTCATAATATTTAAAGTATTTCTACATACAGTATTTTTGTTTTGTTGAAAAACACTTCTTTATTCCACAATAATCAAAGAAAGCACTGGTTATAGAAAAGGAGCTAAGAAGTCTATCCTAGTTCAAGCAACCATGATGAATAATTTATAACATTCTATGCCCGGCATCTTAGAATGAACACCTTTCCAGGCTAGGGTGGGAGTTCTTGTTACTCATTAATTTTAGTTATCAATATTGCATATGGGACAGCACAGTGCTGCTGTGGTTAGCATTGCTGTCTCGCAGCACTAGAGCACTGGGTTCAATTCTAGATCTGGGCACTATCTGCACAGTATTTATATATTCTTCCCATGTTCGCATGGTTTCTACCCAAAGTCCAAAAACATACTGGTAGATTATTTGGGCCTAGCTGTGAGTGTGTATGTGTCTTTATGTCTGTCCTGTGAGGGACTTGTGTCTCTTGCACCCTATGCTTGTTGGGATAGGCTCTGGCTCCCCTGCAACCCTGAATTGCAAAAAGCAGTTAGAATGAATGGAAAATGTTATAGAAAACCAGCTGTTTCATGACTTCTTATTTTGCCTTTCTGCATAAAGAAAGTCCAGGTCAGACAGCACTTCTAATACATAAAATATATACTTCGACTTTATAAGTATAATTAATATTTAAACCAAAAAGTTTCAAACCCATAAGTCATTCTATACTCATTCATTCTATTTCATTGGAATTCCACAGCTATGAACATTCTGTGTGTGTGATGTCTATATTATCTTCTTTAGCTGCATTCTCAAGTGGGCTGAGAAACTCATTTGTTCCTATAGCCCTGGAGAAGGTAATACACACCCAAGGCTCTTACATTAAAATGGTTTAATGCATTCTTTCAAAATTGAAACATTAGCACATGAGACTTCACAGAATGACTACAATAGCCTTCTGGAGAAGAGGGTATTTTTACGTGACTAGAGTACTAAAAAAACAAAAAAAAACAGATGCCTATTGTGTTAAGTGCTGAATTATAGCTAACTTTGGGAGTACTCCATTTTAAACTTTCAAGCATATCTCCCAAGAAACTTAATGAGCTGTAAAAAATCTATGTCAAAGAGCTTTCTTCATTCAAAGCACTTGCTAACTGCAGTATTATTTCATTATAGTTCTTGGATGTACATCCTAGTTGATAATACCCATAAAAAAGAAATATTTTGATAATACAAGAAAAAACTAATAGCAAAATGTTTTCTTTTCATTTTTGTATGTTTTTTTCTTTGTAATCAATGGCCTAAAATAGTTTTCTGTAGACTCATCTAGAGGAAGCTCTATGGCTGGCTTGGCAACAATAATAAACTCATCAGCATCATTCCTAGAGCCCACTGACACATACAGTGATAAAGTTAAAAAAAAAACATTTCCCAGGGAGAACTTCATTAATGATAGAACAAAAAGGCAGAGTGTTTTCTGATCTGTTTATCCCATTATTCTGTAACTACTTAATTCTATACTTACAGGATTGTCCAAGAGTTACTGGGTTGGAATCTGTTTTGCATACTAAACAATTTTTTCAGGGTATCTGACAGGTCAGGCCTGCATTCTGAGAATATATTTGTCTTCCATTTACTTATCAAGAAAATCTAAGGTAAGCAATTCAAGTTGGACAGTGTTTTCAAGAAGATTACGAATTAACATGCAATTTTTTATTAGAAGTGACAAATCCCTTATGTCACATTGTTAGAAATAGTTTTGTCAGTTTGACATCATGTCCTATTTTCCCTGTATCAGTTATGAGGTAATTTATTTGAGACCATCTATTAACAAATTTCAATAAACTATCTTACTTATTTTTACCTGTGGAAGGTGTACACCAGCAACCATAATGCCATTTGGAGTCCTTTCCAGAATCTGCCACACTCTGTCATAAAAGCCCAGAGGCGTTCGGTTGAGACAGCCATCAATTTGACGCCTATTCAACCAGGACCTTCGAAGCGAAATATGGCAAAGAGTGATATATTACAGGGAGAAAAGGAATGGAGCTACATTTGTTAAGGTTAACTGGTACATTTCCTTTGATTAACTCAGATCTGTCAAATATAAACAGTCTCTGCAATGCATACATTATTTTATGAATTATTACTTGTAATGAGCCATTAATATGTCAAATATTAGAATACTTTTTCCCAGAGAATATAAGAAAAGTGGTTTGATGCTGACAATTTAAACACTCATAGTTCTGACACTATTTTATGGACACATTTATCCACTTCAACTGAGAGATTGTAGATTCTCAGCTTCTTCCTCACTACAAAGCATTTTGTAATTTAGGTTTCTAATAAAAGACAGCTGGTTTTCACACCTTCCTTGCTGTTGTGGCTGGAGAACATCCAAAAGCAACTGTTTGACTTCACTGGGTGAGAGCTGATACAGGTCTTGGGCAGGCATATCCCCAGCTCTGATCTTCAGTTCATGCTTCATGGCATGGATGATCCATCTGTAGTAGAATTAATTGATGTTAGATGGAAAGACTGGTGTAAAAAAGTGAAGATATTAGACAGCTTTGAAATAAGATGCAGCAGCAGCTACCATTTTTCTAAAAAGTAACAAAATGAAAAATAACATTAAACTCAAAATCCATAAAACACAGTAGATAAAAAGTACATTATACGGTTTGTAAGGCACATTATAAATCACATCATGAACTGCTGTGACTCTAAGCAGCTCTAAAAATACGTAATCGTGAGTTCACTTGTTGATGGTGTTGTGCTCTTCAAGCAAAGTTAAGAAAAACTGTACGATTTAAGAATTTCAGCCTATCAATATCTGATTTTGTCCTAAAGAATGACACAGTAAATAATTTCATTTAGCAATGAATGCACCTAGCTGTACCTGTAGGCAACATCATCCAAAATGGATTCATGTGTATGCAAGTTCACTTTCCTAACGTGATACTGTTAATTTATTCAACCACTTTATAATTAACAGTACATGTACTGTGCTACACACACATAACATAATTGGAAGTGTCAATAAAAAAAAAAAACTAAAACAGCTCTTGCCTTTCCACTTATTGCACGAATTATAGTTAATAAAGAAAAAAGGTTCTCGTACCCAATTCTTATTTTGAGCATTCCACGAAAGAGTTCCGGAGTGTTAGAGATGATCCAGCCGATGTGAATGACAAGCTCTTGTTGGAGGACTGCTTCCCGTTCCCCATGTGGGCTGCACTTACTGTAGATAATGCCTTTAATGACTCCAGGAGACAGGGGGTTAGAAATCACCTCCTCTTCATGGCCAAAGATCCCCAGTGTAACCTAATGGGAGAAAATGTGCCCATCTTATTTTTTTATTACACACTGTCTCTGCAGTTGTTATAAATGTGATACCACCTTTGCTGGGGTGAATACATTACAGTATTTTCTTTAATCTTAGTATTATTTTGTTCCCCATAGCCAATTCAGAATAAGTGTAGAGGAAGTTCCATTGCGTAATAAACTGTAGTAAAATAATTAGTATTTTTATTAATGAGTTAAGGATCATTTCTGGTTTTGGTTTTAAGGGCTTTGATTGTTTACTGGAATTAATTATTATTAGAGCAGCAAAGAACATCTACCTCTTCTTCCTCTATACAATCAAAAGGTAGTTTTATTATTGATATGCATATCAAAACAAGGTTAAAGTTATGATTAATTTGTTAACAAACTACATTAAGATTTGTTTGCTAATATTATGTTGTTTGTTTCCACATTGAATCGCACTGTTGTGTTCACTAAATTAAAGTGCATGAAATACACATACCCTGACATTTTGTGTACTTCTCTGACAGTTCTTTAAGAATAAATTCAAACCAAGGGACTTGACATGCTCACTATCACATAGTTAAGACCTATAAGACTAGGAGGCTCAAAGGCAATTAACTTCCATTACTGTCCAGGGATACATTTAATATGAACTTCACCATGTTTTAATGATGGCACTGGGGAATACTAGGGTCAAGGGAGTTCATAACAGTTCAGAAAGTCATGATGAATTAATAACACAAGAATTCATCTTGGGTTAACATGAAGGGCTATGGAATTGGAATTTATTCAAAGAACTACATCGTTTAACAGAATTAATAGCTCAGCTATGCATTACTGCAGAAGATGATGTTAACTGCATGCTGACACAACTAGAAGCAGACAAAACAAGCAGTGAATACAGAATATCAGCCTTAATTTAAGTCTCCCATTCAATTACCAATATTGTTTCATTTTATAAAACAGAGGCAAATACATTTTGGGCTCACATGAATCAGTGAACATTAAAATTTCTATTTCATCCAATACTGTGTGTGGTTGTATATACAGTATTTTGTTTTTTGAAAATGATTTTCAACTTACCTGCTTTCCCTGTACTAATACATTAGTAATAGATGGTGCAAGGCTGTCCACTAGTTTACCTAACAGACTGGCAGCTAGACGTACAACAGACCTGGTGAACAGAAAAACAAGGTAATCCTAAAAAGAGTTCAAACAATATCTACTTGGGTACAACTAGTACTACTTTACATGGCAATTTATGATAACATTTTGTTTTTTTTAGTGTACAATAAATAATAATATCCCTTAAAATAATATTGTTTAGTTTATGCATGAGGGTTCCTTATCTTTTACCTAATGGAAGAAAATGAAGATGGTAGAACATTCTCAAAACAACTTACCACTAACACATAAGACCATACTATTTTTTAAAATAAAGGACAAAAGGGCAAATTTAGGTCTCAAGCTCCAAGGCTTGGACTTAACTACATGGAAGCTATTAAATACTGAAGGTTTTAATTAATGTTACTACAATACTGTATAGACATTTCATGTAAATTAAAAAATAGAAAGGAAGTTTTGTGCAGTATGTGATATGATGACACAAAAGGCAGAATTTAATTACACATTCTGACTTAACAATGGAAGTACTGCATTTTATTTTAGAATATTTTTCTCATTTGCAATACACATTTGAAACAGCTTTAAATGTAGAAAAAATAAAAAATAAGACTGCTTCCAAAAGATGCATATTTCAGAAAACCTTTCTTGACAGTGGCATTAAACCACACATTTTTTCAGCTGTATTTTTTATGAGATATTTCTTTTTTCCTGCTGTTGAGAAAAAAATGAATAAATAAATAAACCAAAACATTGAGTGAAGACCCCTTGAGTATCACATTAGAATTCATGAATTTCTGGCCTGAGAAACATTAAGACTCCCATTTCATTCTGAGCTGTGGCACAGAATTAAACATAATGACTTTTGTGAATTCAGGTCCTGCACCTGCAATTTGTGCCCAGACTCACGCAATTAAGTTTTAACATTAGGTTCAAAATTGCAAGATATTTTAATGTTCACTAATTTATGATTACATTATTCGGAAGAGTGGCTGCAAATTACATGTCACACTTAATTGATGAATTCCTATATGGCAATAGCAACAGACATATGTTAAAGTCCTGCAATTGTATTTCAACCACTAAGTTGCAAGTGTGGCACTTAAGGTTTTCCTTTCACTTTGTTCTGAGAAAGGAAAACCCCGAACCAAATTTTCACTTTAAAGCTTGCTTGACATTACAGCTTTATATGATTTTGAAACACAATTATTTAGACAAAAAGCAGGTCTTGGTTCGGCTTTAAGCCTCATATACGGCAGTTGCAGTTTGGCTGAGCCACAAAGCATATTTATCATAATATTAAGGTGATCAAATTTTTTTAAATAAATGTACACAGACAAAACAAAACAATGTTGTTATAGAAGGTTAATAGTGATACTAAGCACCAGTGAGCACTTAACTGACACAATAAGAAACATGCAGCAGTATGGCAGCTCAAGACCAGAATCTATTACCTGCTTGCCATGTACAACCAAAGTTGTAATATGTGGAGCTATAGAGCTGGCAAACTTCTTTGTAAATGCAGCAGAGTAACGGATGGCCAGCCTAGGTTTTTTTGGTTTGTATTCAGATGAGAATTTGGGTGCAAAACCAAACAAAAACACAAACAGAAAACAAGGAGAAGAGAAATTGGTGACGGTTATTGCAGTTTGAAATATATGATGAATGCGCTGGAATGAAATAAGAAATGCTGTTATTTTAAACCGACAAGAATGAATACCGGAATCGTAAAAATATCACCTAATTTAAATGTCTGGAGGCAAAAAGATCATAAGCTTAAGAGAAATGTTTTTTAACCAAAAGCATGATACATGTTTTGGTTAGCAGGTGTCTTAGTGGTTCTTTAGCATTCTGTCTTCATGATCATAAAATGGCTTAATCAAGCATTGAACTCTAACGAGAGCAGAAAAATGAAATGAAAAAAAACTGTCACCTGATACCATGTTACCCACAATCAGGTTTTCTATCATCATGAAGAGAAAAAAAGAGACAGTTTACATTTTTTTCAGATTCAATATTCACTTTCAAAAACTGTCAATTGTATAACATAGGGTCTCTGGATAGTTGGCTGTTTTGTGTTCAGGCTGATAGTCAGAAGGATCGGAACACCTTTTCTCTGCAGTTAAACTTAAAGTAGTGAAAAAAGTTGGGTGTGATCATTAAGTACTACCTGAATGTAATTAAGGGTAAACCCTCATACAGCACTACAGAGAATATGCCCTTATTTTGAGAGGACAGTGCTCATAATCATTGTTAAAAAACATTATTAACCATTTTTGCATCTTTCTGTGAGCACATTATTGAAACAGAAATTAAGATAAAAAAGATGCTGACCAAAGTTTTCTACTTCCAGCTCTTCTGTAGATTCTCTCCAGTTCATCCATGAGGGTCCCTTACCAACAACAATTAAGTAATAGATTAGTTCACACATGTAATTAATGGAATCTTTTATACATATACACATATGTGTTATTGTAACAAAAATTCGT